TCAGTTTTACAGACAATTGGAACGACACACCCACCTGGATAATGTAACCGTGGAGGCGGAACAGGAAGTGCAGTGGGATTGCCTCTCCTGATAGGGTGTCCAAACTGGCCAATCGCGGGTCCTCTCCTCGCAGCTCCAGCAGGTCGAAGCCTTTTTGTTCTGCAGCCAATAGGAAGCCGGGCTAACAGAGAACAAAACTCATTAAATAAATGTAGAAATATTTATATTTATGTACCAACAAAATAAAGTCATACAAAATATATATTACATTTAAAAGCACAAAGATTCTTATCGTTATTTCCAATTTTGTGTCGGGACCATGAACACATCACACACTCACGTCATACTTCCACAGGTTGGCGTGCAGAGCAAAGGACGTGATTGGTCGGCCGGTGCACAGGAAGCTGCAGTGTGGCTCACGCACCAGCCTGTCGCGCTGCCGCAATGCATCCTGGGAAAGCAGCGTGAGCGCCGCGGTGTCAACGAGGAAGAGTGGGAGGCCAAAGCGCTGTGCTACCGCCAGAAACAGCTTCACTGTCTGCTGCACGGAGACAAAGGGCGGTTACTATGGTAACGGTGAGGGGGCGGGACCAACAGTGGTGCTGACTCACCCATTGGACGTCATTGGCGCTCAGGTGACCTGTTCGGCTCAGGATGTGCGGGCCAGGCTGCAGAAGAAAGGCATGATGGGAAATTCTAACTAAAACGTGATCATTTTGAAATGTGGACACATTTATGTTTCAGCCTCCTGATTGGTTGGTGGCGATTTGACACTCACATCGTGTTTGATTCCAAAAAATCATAATTATATATAATGATCAATATTAGCTTCTACTAATATTTATATTATATGTACTGATATAAAATGTAAGATAATAAAAAAATATATTATTATCCTCATTATTATTATTAGTTACTTTTGCATTTGTTGTTTTTTTCTTTTGTAGACACTAGGGGACACCAAGCACCAGACCAAGCTTTAGTTAGGTTAAGGATAAAACAGCAGGTGGGTCAGTGAACGCATCAGGAAGGGATTTGTTTTTTACCAAGATTTTTTTTTCATTTGTTGTTCACTCAGAAGTTGTTTTTTTCATCCCTTTATTAACAACCAATGAAATACGATGACAAACTCACTTTGTACAAACAAACAATTCTCTTTCCCCCCTAATCGTGGATCACAGCTCCCACAGTAAAATCAATCCTCGTCAACACAATGAGAAGAGATTCTAATAATAAGCAGGTAACAACAGCAACAAAAGGACAATAAGAGAAAAAGAAACACTGAAACTGAACAGGGAGTTACAATAAATCATATTCAGACCTTAGTGCACATAGAATTGAATTGAATTGAATTGAATTGAATAGTCTTCGGCCATTTTTGACTTTTCTTATACATGCTCATTATTAAGTTCCTGCCATTTATGTATGTAATATTTTGTTATAATTATAATATTTAAATTAGTTTATTTTTCAGAATTGCTCCAATTTCAACAGATTCATAAGAAAATAAATCTCTATTGACGGATTTGGAAATGAGTCAATCATGAAGTATCTGTATCACAGGTATAAAACAGGTGCTCTGTTGTTGATCACAGGATTAATAAATCCTTTCATTTGAACAATATATTTTATTTAATGTTTTAAAATGGATTTCTTTATATTTGGGGGGAATTTTGTTCTTATAGCCAATAAATTGGTTTTCCTACATTAATTAAACCAGGGAACATAGTATTTATCAAATATTGCCTCAGAAATGTATTATTGCAACTTCTGTCTCAGAAATCAACAGAGCCAAGTTTAATATTTTTTAGGTATTTAAAAATCTCAAAATCTATGGCTATAATCCCACCATCTTCATAGTTTATATGCTTTTTAATATAATGATGCTTATTTTTCCAATAAATTAAAAATGTATTTAGTAAAATTCTTTGATAATTTTAGGAGATATAGCTAAGTAGTATGCAGGATAGATCATCCTAGATATGGTTTCCATTTTTGTCAGTCTCTTTGTAACCAGTTGTTCAGCATTTTCTTACATTTAACAGTATTTTGGATATTCTTATTCTCACAAGTGTCTGAACATTTGGTTATCCAAATCACGAGGTATGGAGTATCTTTTTCAACAGGTATGGTATATAGTTCACATTTGTCAAGGTTCAAATGCAGACCAGAAGCTTGGCCAAAGGGATTTTTTCTTTTAAAAAAAGTCATCAGCAAACAGACTTACAGTGAACTGTTTACCATTTATGTTTAATTCCTCAATGTTGGAATTCTTGATTAGAATAGCCAATAATTCACTAACTGTAATAAACAAAAGAGGTAAAATACTCCATCCCTGTTTTACGTGTCTTCCTACACTTAAAATCTGGGCCCGGTGCCTTCTGGGAGGAAAACACCGCTGTTAATGCCTGTGTGCTGGATCTCTGCCTCAGAGTAACTCAGCACACTCTGACTGACACAGTCAGTGCCTGTGCACGCTCATATATAAATGTTAAACTATTCCTTTAACTCTGTGTAACCCAGTCTGCTGACTTGTGTTCTGTGTATTCACATGTTCATCTCACCTGTCGTAAACTGCTAAACTGACTCCAGACAAAGTTCACTGAGAAGTCTTTATACTGATGTTTATATTCTGGTTTCTTCCCCAGGACTGCAGCCTGAAGGAAAACAGACCTTAAAAGGTAAACAGAGAAAGAAACAAGAAATCAAGAATCATCTTTCCTTAATTAAAGTAACTTCTTTTGCTGATGACTCTCTTGTTTCTGTTCAGAGTCTGAGTCTGTCAGGTTGGTGGGAGGAGACAGTCGCTGTGCAGGAACACTGGAGCTGAAACATCAGGATGAATGGAGACCAGTGATTGGCTCTGACTGGACCCTGAAGGAAGCCACTGCCGCGTGCAGAGAACTGGACTGTGGCTCTGCTGTTTCTGTAGGAGAGAGAAAGGAGTCTTCAGACAGACCTGTGTGGAGGATCTGGTCAGACTGTATTAAGTCTGGATCTGCTCTGAGGGAGTGTGCAACATCAGAGTTCTCTTCCACCATCCTGAATCTCACCTGTTCAGGTAATCCCATCAGTGACATAATTTATGATGGTAATGTCCATACGTTGACACACACACACACACACACACACACACACCTGTAGAGATGCCAGTTTGCCTCCTGGGTTCTGCCCTGGTACACTGATGTGTATTCAATGTAAATGTGATGGGAACATTGCTGCAGTCTGTGCTGTTATAAAGATGTGTTCTGTTGTTAATGATGAACTTCTGTTGGAATTGTTCTGAGTCCAGTTTGAATCACTGAATTGTTGTTTGATGTTTTATTTTTGTCTGCTGTCTTTTATCTCTCTCTATTTTATCTTCTATTATCTGTCCAGACTCTGTCAGGCTGGTGAAATTGGACTAGTCAGTTCCTCAGCCAGACCATCTGAGAGGTGAAAGGCTCTGACCCAAGTCAACTAAACCAAGCGGTAAACGCTCCTCACAGTAAGAGAGTGACACACACACGACCTAGTGGAAGATGACTTTGCACCAGCATGGATGGGCAGACAGGTGCTCTGAGTGAAGACATACGGCTGTTGGGGCTCCTTCAGTCTCCAGGGGGGCGCTTCATGCATGCGAGAAGTGGAAGTCATCCTAATGTGGACCACAAGAAGCTATCCAGGATTGTGGAGGGCCCATTGGAGTCTAGTATCTACCCTCGACATGGTAGAAGCTCCAAGGCTTCACGGCTAGAAGACACACTGCTCCCACCTGGAAAAAGCTAGTTGGACTCCTACCCGCTGCCCACGTTAGAAGAGGAGCTTGCAAAGACTACTGATTGGTTCATTTCTGTTCTGATGAAACTCACTTTATTCTTTTACTGATGACTCTCTTGTTTCTGTTCAGAGTCTGTCAGGTTGGTGGGAGGAGACAGTCGCTGTGCAGGAACACTGGAGCTGAAACATCAGGGAGAATGGAGACCAGTGATTGGCATTTACTGGACCCTGAAGGAAGCAGCTGTTGCCTGCAGAGAACTGGACTGTGGCTCTGCTGTTTCTGTAGAACGGAGAGAGTCGTCAGACAGACCTGTGTGGTGGATCACCTCTGACTGTGTTCAGTCTGGATCTTCTCTGAGGGAGTGTGCAACATCAGATTCCTCTTCCTACATCCTGAATCTCACCTGTTCAGGTAAGCCCATCAGTGACATCATCAATGACATAATTAATGACAGAACACACACACACACACATACACACAAACACACTACTTACTGATGTTAGTCCAGCCCACCAACCAAGGAAGCTACAGATATGTTTATCACGTCTATGTTTTCTCTCATAACTTCTCCTCTGAGAGCCGTCTGCTCTCTCTCACTGTCTCAGGAAAGGTGGAGCAGAGAAACTGAAATATTATTATAATAATTATAATAATTATAACTGACTGTTTAAAAGATGATCAGCTGACAACATTGAGTCCATGCATGTTGTTTCCTGAATGAAAGTCTGTCTGACTGCTGTCATTGTTTTACACATCATCTAGTAATGAATGTGCTGTGTCATCCAAACAACCCTAATAAATGAACTGGCAGCAGCACAAATATCATCCACAGAAATGTTCCTAAGCAGGGTCCATGAAGCAGTCATAGCTCCGGCAGAAAGAGCTCACAGCCTCCTGAAGGCTGGAACCCACAGTTTTTATAATCCAGTACCAGAGCCTCCAGTTCCCACAGGATAGATGCTGGTGAGGTCAGGGCTCACCTTGAGCTTGTAGGTCTTCCTAAACCCCTTAGTTCTGTCTGTGTAGATGCATCAGGCTTGCACAGGAATTAACAAGTTTACCCACCGATGGCTCTCGGTGGCAAAAGGCATAGGATGAAAACCCAGCAGCAGTAAGCCAGCTGTAATCTTGTGTTCCAACCAAACGCAAGCTAACTTTCACCCTCCATTATGTTTATTCACCGGATCATTTGTATTTACTCATGTGAGCAATGCCAGTAAACAACTGACCTTTAACCTGGTTTACTAAAGCGAATGAGACCAAAATAAAAAGATTTTGCTGTAATTTAATGTCAATAAACCGATCAAACTGATGCTGACATAACAACAATGGGGGATTTGTAAGAAGTCTGAATAGATCCTTTGCACAACAGATTTTGGAAGAAAACCAACAGTTCTTATCATCAGAGTGGTCGTCCTGCTGCTGACTCTGCTGTTGGTGACCACCGCCCTCTGCGTCTACTGTAAGGTACTGACACTATCTGCCATTAAGAGTTATTATTTACTGAAATACAAAATACGAAAGCACTCAGTCTGAGTTTATTGAACTGAACAGAGGACTCATGCTGTCATGTCCCTCCAGGCCTGCAGGGGGCAGAATCTGGGCAGACAGGAGAACATCGAGCTGGATGATTATAACCTGGGTGTTCCTGCAGCTGGAGGAGGGCCGACTGAAGAGGAAGGAGCTCAGGGAGCAGAGTAGGACCTCCAAGGAGCTCTTCTCACATCCACATGGATTCACGGCTGACAGACAACCATCAACTCAGTCAAGGATTTTACATTTTTATCCTCATATTGGCTGAAATTATTATATTACATTATATTTGTATTACTCTGAGCATGAAAAGACCAAAAACAACAACATGTTGTCCGTCTCTCAATACTTTCTGACTTCCTGTGTGTGGCTCTCAGCTCCAACC